TTTTTACCTCTTCGGGATACCACGATTCAAGAAATCCAGAGACATACAGAAACAGACCCAGACCTACAAGCCTTAGCAACAATTATCAAAGATGGCTGGCCTGATACTAAAGGTATGATAAAGCCACAACTACAATGCTACTACTCTTTCAGAGAAGAGTTAACTCTTTACAATGGCGTAGTATTCAAAGGTGAACGTATCGTGATACCGGCAGCACTACGCAACACAATGATCTCCAAACTTCACGCTAGTCACCTTGGAATTCAAGGATCACTAAGAAGAGCACGTGAAGCTTTCTACTGGCCTAATATGAATGAGCAGATCACTGAGTTTATGTCCAAATGTGATGTATGTAACAGTTACAAGACACAGCAAAGAAAGGAACCAATGGTAAGCCACAACAGACCCACTAGAGCATGGGAAAGTATTGCTTCCGACCTCTTTGTATTCCATGGTAAGGATTACCTAGTAACAACTGATAGATATTCCAACTTCTTTGAAGTGGATAGACTGTATTCAAAGACAAGCACAGAAGTGATAACCAAACTGAAAGCACATATCGCAAGATATGGTATTCCCAACGAGCTCATGACAGACAACGGTCCAAACTTCACGAGCAGAGAATTCAAACAATTTACTGATATCTACAACATCGAGCATGTCACAAGCTCACCAACATATGCCCAATCCAATGGCAAAGCTGAGAATAGTGTGAAAACAGCCAAGAATATCATGCAGAAAGCACTAGATGCCCAGGCTGATCCATACTTGGCATTGTTAGATTTCAGGAATACACCGACAGAAGGTTATTCAACCTCACCAGCACAGAGAATGTTAAACCGACGAACACGAACACTGTTACAAATCTCAAACAAGTTGCTGCAACCAGAGATACCCACAGGAGTACAACAGTCACTGAAAGTCAATCAAGCCAAACAGGCATTCTACTATGACAAAACTGCGAAAGAACTGAAACCTCTTAAAGAAGGTGATGTTGTAAGAGTAAAACCCAAAGAGTCAGATAAGAAATTTGTCAAAGCAAAGGTTGAGAAACAAGTGGATATCAGATCGTATCAGATCAAGACGGAGGACGGACGAGTATTCCGACGTAATAGAAAAGATCTCCACAAGACCCCAGAGAACTACAACCCCAGTATTCTACCAGATTTGCCTCGAAATCAGCAGCCTCAACCAAAAGTTATACCTACGAAAGCAGTCCCAGTATCTGCTGACAGAAACAAGCAAMAATCCCCAGTGATTACTCCTACAGCCACTGAGGAATCCATCAAGACGAGAAGTGGTCGAGTTGTTCGCAAGCCTACATACCTAAGTGACTTTGTTACACAATGACTTTTTGATAGTAACCTTTGTGTATTGTTATTGTTGTTTATAGTTTTCATATTTGTAAAAAAAGGGGGATGTAACGGTATTTACAGTATCGGGATACCTGTGTAGTCGGAGAGTTCACCATTGTTTGTATGTGTTAGTCCGATTGTGATATTAAAGGACAAGTTAGCACAACAACACAGTGTCTATTAACGACAGTCTAACGTAACAATAGTTTCGTGTTCTTGTTCCGTTTCAGTTTCCATTTTGGGGCCAATATTGTTCACAATATTGTTCACAAATCTGGCATTAGGCAGTGGCATTAGTCAACTCGGCAATACCTCTGGCAAAGACACCATCTATGGTACAAATAGAACCCCCTCTCAAACATATCCCAGGGCTAATCTTCCGAGTTATGTCGCAGGCTTGGGGCCTAAACAATTGCTTGTAACCTACTGATTCCGAAAACTACAAGAATTCCACAAAACTCAGCCAAGTGTATTCATCGTAGTCATACTTCAGACCCTATGAAGCAGCAACGGGAAACCACAAGGACCGCTGCGGCCGATCGCGACCGAATCTCCCTTGGCACACCAATCGTTGTATCAACTTACAATGTCCGCACTTTACATCAAACCGGCAAATTCCACCAACTGTGTAGCGGCTGCATTGATGCAGGCGTCGATATCGTAGCTGTACAGGAACACAGACTCCTCTCTACTAACCCAATAAATGAAAAATGGTCGGACGACAAAAACTGGATGTTTATCCACAATTCTGCCTCGCAGAGCCGACAAGGAGGTGTTGGTCTTCTAGTTTCAAGACACCTTGTGAAATGCATTGTTAGCACAAAATGCATATCAGACCGTATCATCGCGGTATCTTTCAACGGCAACCCCCGACTTGTCGTAACAGTTGCATATGCACCAACAGAGATGGCCGACGAAGAGGATAAAGACATGTTCTACGATACTTTAAAAGATTACACCAGTAACCAGATCAAACGTCATGATTTTCATCTCGTTCTAGGGGACCTCAACGCAAGATTCGGGCGTGACACCCTTGAGGAAGCCCCGAGAATCGTTGGTTCCAACTTATTGCATGATATCACAAACAACAATGGTGAAAGACTCTTAAACTACTGTCTTGAACACAACTTACGACACACTCAGTCAAGGTTTCCTCATCCTCAATCAAGAATGTGGACAT